CAAGCAGCTGTCTACCTTCAGGTCTCAGGATGAGATGCGTTTGGAGCAAGAGGAGAAGTCCAAATTGAGCCTTGCTAAGGGCGAGGGAAGTTGTTACGAGGCAGCTGGGCATTATGGCTTCAGCTGTGTGGAAGGAGACAGTCAACCCAGAAGGTCAGGGAGTTAGAGGAGAAGAAGTTAAGGGATGCAGAAAGTGAGGCAGCAAGACTTGAGGAGCATATCAAGGGGCTGGAGAAGTTGATAATTTGAGACTTCATCATAATCTTTTTGAAGAGTCACTCTCTGCTCTTTTGGTGGATGATGTTAAGAAGGGACACCAGGAGATAAAGATAAGAACTAAGACAAAACCAATATAAAATAATTTTTGTAGAGGTATAGCCGCACTCTATCTATGTCTTGACGCCAATGTTCGTTTCAGGTAAACTGAAGTGGCTGGGCGACTCGGCTGTGGTCTGAGCTAATCTCAATATTTAGTACGCAGTTCTGCATGCAGAGGTCCTTGCATTCGTTAGCATCATGCGTCCAGGTGCAATTGTCACCAGCTATGAAAACTACACTATTCCCCTTCACATGTTAAACCCAATGGGTTAATATCTATTTAATATGAAGAAGCTGAACAGTTGCCGTAGATTAATCCCACCCTCTTTCAATCAGCGTACCCTCTTCACGCAACATTCGTAGGGTTATTCGAATTTATGGCCCTGGTGTGCGCGTCATGACGTGCATTTTGATATCTTGGAGGCGGGGTAGCTTGTTATATGCGAGGTAAGAGAATCATGGACAACCCCCCACCGCCATCGTCATCTTGTCTATTCTTCTAACAAGACCGTTTTCAAACCCAAGAACAGCACCACAATTTGAAACGAGAGTTGCCCACAAAGCAATTTCCTCCACTAAGGTTATCCAGTTGCATCACCAAAAACTCCCTAGCTGTCTTGTTTTGGGATTCCTGGGAACATTGGGTCCCGCCTGAACATGGGATCATTGGCTAAACTTTCCAGAACTGAATTTTGAAGCCATATCGTCGGCAATCGATCACATGCGTTCTTGTAAAATCAGGTTGTGACAGAAAGGTGTGGAAGGACGCCGAATCAGGCCGATGCTGGTGGTTTGAGCAAAGACTAGTACTAGTATGATGACCAGTACTATCAGAACGAATACCTGATTACCGGCATCTCCACCTAGCTGACAGGAGGATATAATAATACTCGGAAGAAATAAGAGGGTACTCGGGCCTTTCGAAATGGTTGATTGAAGAATTTGAAATTAGGTCTTTGAAGGTCACCTGATTCAACACCATCTCCAACGCAGTAGCGAACCACCTATCAGGATGGTTGGGAAGGCAATCCTGTGGTGTTTTTGGGCGCTTGGGCTGGTTTGGCAAACCTGGGAAGTGGTCTAAATCCCGGGAAGAGTTAGGAGGCCGTAGCATAGTGTCTAGCTAGGCCGGGACCGGCTGAAGATCCGTCAATTCCGGCCTACTCGATGCTGTGAGAGGACCACCTATCCGGCAGTTTCGCAACATGCAAAGATGAAACTATCCATCCACACCATTCGAGCCAGGGATACCTTTCGTGCGATTCAGAAGCTCAGAACAAAAAAAAAAAAAAAAAATTGCTTTATTATCGAACTAAGGAATCCGGTTTCCCACCACATGTATGTTAAGGCACAAAAGTATTGTTCAACCAGGAAATGTATGAGGAGTATATTACACCCTCCTCCTTCTTCCCCGGGTCTGCCTTAGCTATAGCCTATGTTTAAAAGGTTATTATTGTTTCTGTTACTTCCCCGGGTTACTTCGTCTTGCAATCAGTGTTGCAATAATGGTTTTTGTATAACCTCTAACAGCCATTACACTGCAGGCCACTCCATTTGAGACAGTTGATCTATCAAAATTCCAAACTTGTCATACGGGTTTATTTTTCAAAGAACTCTGTTTAAACAATGTTCTATTTTCTTTTTGTTTAACTACCTATGCTGAATTTTGCTATCATATCGCGTGCTAAGAGAGAAAGAAGAGGGCAAGTGAACCAAGCTGGCCTTTACCTTGTCTTTTCTTCGAATGTCAGTATCGTCATAAACTATTTTCTACATCTGCGATATTCTCTATGGAATGACTCTATTCTCATTTACCCTCTGGCCCTTCTCTCTAGAATGAGATGATGAGGGACTGTTGTTGATAAAAGAAAAGTATGCTCTTTTATTACATCTCCTTTCGCTCATCGCCACCCCCTTTGTTCTTACAACAAACACGCTTCACTCTATAAAACACCCTCAAAATACGCTTTACCTCCGCTTACGACTACTGAGTTCTGTTTCTCATTAACTTACCAAGTCAATCTCTTACAGCATTTACATTTCACTTGTGGTTCCCGTCTCATCATTCTGGGGATCTTCCCGCGAAGTGCTTTTCGATATCCTTATCCTGAACCTAAATTATCAACATTTGACATCAGAACCGGCTTGTGCACTTTGAAGGTAACTGTGATACCACTTCTTTATCATACCCACCTTACTAATACTTACTAGCAAGACCCTATTATACCATCTCTGCTTAACAATGTGCCGTTGGTCTACGGCGTTGTATACCTGCGGTCACCGCTCTCCACCGGTGCGAGTGGAAGAAGAATCGTGCGAAGACAGCTTAAGCTGTCTCTATGACGGCTCAGATGCGGTCTTTAAAGTTTCGTACCAGTGTCGGCTGTGCGATCCATGGGAGGGCCCACCATCACCACAACGCCAACCGGCAGCAGCAGTGGAAGGAGCCGTGACAGCGACACCAATACCAAAAACTGCAACAAAATCAAAGCAGAAGTCGATAACAATACTCTCGCCACCTAGACGGAGAAGAGGACTTGGAAAAGCAATCAAAAGGGGTTTTAGAAAAACGCGCATGTGTATATGCCAAACCAAGTAACCGGGGATGGGAATGTGGGACATAGGAGAACAAGCTCAGGGATGAGTACGAGAGTGTCCGCTGACGGTCATTCGAAAGAAGGTTCAATAATCACACCCACATCCCCAAAAATTCCCACTTTCTTTTGAAGCCGGGGCGGGCTTCAAGGCCAACGTCAAATCATCGCAAACAAATAATAGGAAGGTTCGAGAACAAGAATTTCTCGGTGGCTTGGTTCTCGTGAAAACGATAGTTGCTACACTGCTGCCCTTGACGAGGTGGTAGGGAAACATCGAGTGCCACTTTGAGCGGAAGATACGGACCGGCGATTTACTTCCTTGTGTTTACTCGCTGCCCGTTTCAATGTGTGGGAGACCCGCACACTTTGGAAGGACGACAGACGAAAGAGCTACTCATTTTTTTGGAGTTTTATGTGGGAGGCGCTGTTTAGAATTTGCTTTCGGTTGATTTTTTTTATTATCTTTCTCTTTTTTCCATATCCATTTTCATCCTGCGTTGTCCATTGAACCCATCAAAAGTTCTCTCTTATCATTTCACCATTAGAGGGTTGCCGGCGGTGCATTGTGTGGTTTCCAGTTTATTTGCATCGTTCCGCCTTTCCATTCTATGAGGGTTGTTCAATGGGTTGACCCCGATTGTATAATATTTCCAAACAATTTCTCATGCATGTCACTCTTCCTAGAGTAAACGACTAAATAACCTGTCTGCATTGGATACTGTATTCAGTTTGAAGATGTTGTCCTGTCCCGTGACAGAAATTCAACATACATGAGATTGAAGTCATCTCGGTGCAGAATGGAGAAATGAAATAACTGCCCATGAAGATGCCGTTCATGGGACACACATATACAAAGCATAACGAGAAAAAAAAAAAAAAAAAAAAAAAAAAAAGGAAAGAAAGAAAGAAAATACCTACATTATTATGAAGGGTAAGAATTCGAAGATCATTCAGGTCATCTTTCGTAAAGGAGTCATAAATAAAAACTGGAAAAAGATTGAGAAGTTGACATTTTGCCACACAAAGCTTGACAAAAATCACCAAAAATATTCACAAGAAGAGAGGGGAGAGAAAGGAGAAAATGAGCAATATGAGAAATATGAGAAATAAATCATTAGCAAAAAGAAACAGAGACAAAGGAACGGCCATTTCATTTCCGGCTACGAATGAAACCGGCGATAATGAAAAGGGATAGAGAAGTTAAATAAGACCCGTGAAAACAAAGCAAATAGAGAGCCAAATATACAGTTCCACAAAGGGAGCAAAAGCCCTTCTACTTCCTTCCCCTACCCTCTTCGAACATGGACTTTTTTGCATCGTTCCCCCCTGCAGCCAAATTTCTCCAGTACTCCAATCCAGCATTGAACGCAACTCTCGGCTGTTGATAGCCGACTTCCACAACTTGTCTTGTCGGCCGGGAAACCTGCGCTGGTGGAGGTGGAAGGGGATTCAGAGACGAGGCCTGTGCAAACCGGGCCCCGGTTCGGAATCTCACCCAGCTTTGTGCTACCAGATAACACAGATATCGAGGAAGCGGCTCC